GTTAAGCCGAACAACTAACAAAAGTAGTATAAAAACGGGATTTTCGGGACCTTTGATGTCGGCAAAAGGGGTAATAAAATGCAATTAATGGGTTAGCTGTCAAAACATTTAATTGCTTTGAGTAATAAAAATGCAATTAATGAGGGTTAGCTGTCAACCTGTCAATGGATGGGGGTAATAAAGATGCAATTAATTAGGGTCAGTGTAAGTAAAAGGACACTTGTGAACAAGTGTTCAAGCGCCCCAGCAAGGATGTGGATACGAGTGCGAAAGGGAGGGGAGCGATCCCGAGCGATCCCGGAGCGCACGTGTACGTTCCCACGACCCTCACTGAAAGAAAGGGACGGGGGAGGCAATTGAAAAGGTCGCACCGCAGCGATCCTGGGCCGCATCGATCCCGTTCACGCACGTGGACGTTGACCCACAATCCTCACTTAAAAAAGGGACGGGGGTGGAATGGGAGAAGGGTGCTAACGGAAAATTCCACGCCCACGCTCTACTCGATCCTCGAGCACACTTGTACGTTGACCCTCAATCCTCACTTAAAAAGGGATGGGGGTGGAATGGAAGAAGGGTGCTAACGGAAAATTCCACGCCCACGCTCTACTCGATCCTCGAGCGCACTTGGACGATCACCCACGATCCTGACTTAAGAAAGGGACGGGGGTAGAATGGGAGAAGGGTACATGTTTGGAACGGAAAATCCACGCTCTGCTCGATCCTCGAGCGCACTTGGACGATCACCCACGACCATCACTTAAAAAAGGAACGGGGATGGAATTGAAGAAGGGTACATGTTTGGAACGGAACAACCAAAGTACAACCATATGAATGACGCACACCACGAGCGTGGATTTTTCCTGCGAGATAGTACATGCTTACACACACCACCACCCATCCTTTCACAAATTCGAGGAAGGATCACCCTCACCACCCTTTCTTTCATTGACCAAAAGATGTGCCCTTCTTTGATATGGAATTGTGTCTTTTAAGTGAAAGAGTAAATCTGAAAAATAAATACTGAAAAAAAATACATCCCCAAGCCCTTTTTTCCCAATAAAAAATGGATATATATTTATTTATATATTATAATTTTATTTATCAAATATAAATATCAGAAGCGATGTTCTAAATCAACATACATTTTCATAATTTTTAATGATTTTTGAGAGCGAACACTGAAAAATGACAGGCGCAAGTATCGAGACCATTGTTGACATTATCATTCGCCCAAGAGCAAGATGTGAAATGTTGTCCATGTATATTTGAAACCAGCGGTGTATTAGGCATCCTCTGATGGAAATATTTTATCGAATCCTCCAGATATTGCTCGTGTTCGGGGAAAATTTTATTCTTATACATTTTCATGAAATTATTTATTCTAATTACAAGTTGATGTATTGTAAAAGAGGTTGTGGGTTTGGTTTTGTTTTCCAATGACATCATTTTTGATTGCTCCGTGGACGTCTACTCCCAATGATTATAAAATTGAATGATCTTATCCTATAAAAATTTTTAGACGATACGTTGAACTAATCCACTCAATGGTCTATATTCAACTAGTCGATCATGGATGAGAAGGCAATATACCTTTGTATTCATCTCACTCGCCACACTTAGCTCTGTGGAAATTTTTACATCAATCGGTCCTGATTTTACAGACTCATTCTGGTATGAGAGATCAACAACAACGACAGGAGCCTTCCTTATAAACTCGATGGGTGATAGAAGTGCCCGTGGTTCTCGATTGTAGTAGCTCTCTTGGAATTTTGTATACATGTCGTACAAGACGGCAAACCGATTCTCATTATATTTAATATTCAAATCCTCATAGGGATAGACTTCAGAATTTAGATATACTTTTGCATTTCTCAAATTGTTTGTAATTAGCTGTCCATTTAACGTAAATGCAATGACAGCAAAACGTGGGCGTTCCCTATTTGCAGCCAACTTTACATTCCAGATATGATGTGTTCCCTGTACCAATGTTGGATTAATATAACAATCCCAACTCCGGAATGCGAGTGGGAGAGTAGCTCCACTTTTCACTACATTAAACATTTTAATTTTAGCACTGTCACTTGGAACGATGTGGGGAATCTTCCAACATATGTTATGTATAGCAATATTGTGTGTTTTTCCATCAACTGTTTTAATATACATATCATCAGTGTTTTTTGTAAGCAAGAGAACGAGCTCATGTTTACAATTTAACACTACTTTCTTGTAGTCTTCAGCGAATCCCATCAACATTTTTAAAGGTACAGAAAAGCTGAAATGTCCTCCCGAAGGAATATTGTCTCCACCACTCCACCCGGCATTACGACAAAGAACTCCTTCCTGTTGCCCGACTGAGAGAAAGTTTTTAATAGTTGTTGTAATTCCAGTAAACCGTGTCCTATCCAATTCACACCCGTTTAACTCATATCTTATTTCATCTAGAAAATAGGCCATGCAATTATTTTTGAGCATCCCAGTAACTCCATTTGTCGAAGTCGTTCCTGTATTTGTGTCAATAATTTTGCTAAGTGTTCCCTCAAAGTGGAGAAAACTTTCACATGGAAGGACATACAAATCTTGGTTCTGTATTGTGATACGAACTTCATCATTTGGCTTGAAGTTTTGTTGATATGGATAATAAGTATGTAGTTATTTTTATACCCTTGCAGGGTATTATAATTTCAGTCAGAAGTTTGCAACGCAGTGAAGGAGGCACCTCCGACTATATAAAGTATATATATTCTTGATCAGGATCAACAGCCGAGTCGATCTAGCCATGTCCGTCTGTCCGTCTGTCCGTCTGTCCGTTTCTACGCAAACGGACAGACGGACAGACGGACAGACGGACAGACGGACATGGCTAGATCGACTCGGCTGTTGATCCTGATCAAGAATATATATACTTTATATAGTCGGAGGTGCCTCCTTCACTGCGTTGCAAACTTCTGACTGAAATTATAATACCCTGCAAGGGTATAAAATAACTACATACTTACATACTTGAAGCTATCTGAATGAAACTTTGCAGTTAGTCTTCTATATACTCTCACTCGTATATATGTCGGAACGGGCCGGATCGGACGACTATATCTTATAGCTGTCATAGGAATGATCCGAAAAGTTTTACAAAAAAATTATACAATTTTTATTTTTCAACAGAATTTGATCAAATTTGAGATATAGCCATTTCATATTATTCTACAATTTTGTGTAAAATTTTATGAAAATCGGACGGCTATATCATATAGCTCCCATAGGAACGATCGAGAAATTAATTCAATTAATAAGTATAACATTTTCAGTTTTCAACAGATTTTCATTAAATTTGAGATATAGCCGTTTCATATTATTCTACAATTTTGTGTAAAATTTTATGAAAATCGGACTAATATATCATATAGCTCCCATAGGAACGATCGAGAAATTTGAGAGGAATGAGAATGGCGGTGGCTGTTGTCGGAAGACTGACAATCGCGGTGGCGATAACATTTTTAGTTTTCAACAGAATTTAATCAAATTTTAATTATATAGCCATTTCATATTATTCTAAAATTTTGTGTAAAATTTTATGAAAATCGGATTACTATATCATATAGCTCCCATAGGAACGATCGAGAAATTAATACAATTAAATTTATAACTTTTTAGTTTTCAGCTGATTTTCATCCAATTTGAGGTATAGCCATTTTATATAAGTTTTAATTTTGTGGCAAATTTCATAAAAATCGGACGACTATATCATATAGGTGCCATACAAACGATCTTTTGATGTAGAGGAAAATGCAAATCTGTGAATGTAAAACTGCAAATATAATATGTATAGGTGAATGAAATGAAAGCAGGTATTACTTCATTGTTTTTTAACACAAATATATCTAATTTATATTGTATGGATTCCTATTCATAGAAGTTCTATCTGCAAGGGTATATAAACTTCGGCGTGCCGAAGTTAGCTTCCTTTCTTGTTTAACAATGCTTTCATCATTGACAGGTTTTTCTTGAACATAAAAAATCTCATTCATTTGAATTATTTATTTATATTAAATCCAATGATTTTAAAATCAATTTATTTTTTAATGTGAGAGTCGGCCGTTGATTTGAAGGACCTCGGGTTGATGATGATGATTTTGAAGATGATGATGCTTTCACTTCAACTGTAGGTTTAATAATGTTATCAAAGGAGCTATGTAACGTCTTTTATTATAAATATCATTCTGTTGATCGTAAGTGAAGACGAATTGATACAGTTTCTCCACGCAAATTAATTAATTCTCCGTTTTGATCAGTTATCCGTACTTCGAGTGTGCTTATTTCTCTGGTGTTGACAGGTAAATAAATCAAGTTGTGTGGTGTAATGTTCATTTTATATCCAGGCGGAACATTGATTCCAAATTCATGAAGCACATGATTTGGTTTATTCCCCACATATGATCCACTAACAATGTTACACTCCAATCTAACAGAATTTATTTTTAAAATATTTACAGGTGTTTTGAGGAGGGCATTAATTTATGCCACCTATTAAGCGAATTGATTTAGCGAGGGGTTTGTTTTGTGTTGGCGTAAAATTAGTTATGTTTTAATTTGTGTGTGCTTGTGTGTGGTTTGGTTACAAAGTTTTTGTGTGTTTTTAGTTTCAACGTAAATGAGCGAATGAATCGAGAGAATAGATAAGCCAAACAGAAGAGCTGCGGCGGAAGAGCTTTCATGCCGGCTTATGAGGTGGAAAGCTTCTGCCGCAGCTGATCGCTTGTTTACAAATAATGATTTAAAACATTTAATATTAAATCTGCTGCTTCTGCTCCCGACATGCTCCCCCGCTGGATGCGGCACGCTGCCAGATGAGGTGGTTTCCAGGGGTAGAACAGCTATTTTGCCAACAGCCCTTTTTATTAGGCCAGTGGCTGTCCGAATGACAGCGACACGGGCCACACCGTCAGCTCCATGGATAATGCTCTCCACTCTGCCAAGACGCCATTGAAGCGGAGGATGTTGTCCTCCTTGAGCACCACAATGCTATGCGGTAGGATGTTGGGCCTTGATGCACGCCATTTCCCACGTTCTTGTAAAAGCGAGAGGTAGCTGGTACTCCACTTCCGCCAGATGATTTGCTGAATTTGGCAAACTCGTTGCCAGCGGCTCAGCCGATCGATGCTGAGGTGCGTGATGTCGGGCTCCTCGATTGTGGCGAAAGAAGACCCAATCAAAAAGTGACCAGGTGTAAGGACATCCAAATCGTTAGGGTTTTCTGAAATTGGACAGAGCGGTCGAGAGTTAAGCATCGCTGAAATTTCATAAACTAAAGTGCGAAGCTCATTGAATGAGAGAATAGTGTTGCCAACGACCCGATGAAAATGATATTTTGCAGATTTGACGGCAGCCTCCCATAGGCCGCCGAAATGAGGCGAACGAGGGGGAATAAATTGCCATTTGATCCCGATGGAAACGAAGGCCTGCTGAAGATAGCTGTTTTGAGGGTCGGCGAGAAACAGTTGCCTCAGTTCCAGCAGCTCGTTTTTGGCTCCAACGAAGTTTGTAGCGTTATCGGACCATATTGTGCCAGGCTTGCCCCTTAGGCTTATGAAGCGCTTGAGGGCAGCGATGAATGAAGCCGCAGACAATCCTCCACCAGTTCCAAATGGCAGGCTTTAGTGGCGAAGCAAACAAATATTGCGATATAGCATTTGACGGGTGGCCGGTTTCTGACTTCAGACTTGGAGTAGAAAGGACCACAGAAATCGATTCCCACTGTGACAAATGGTCGACTTGGCTGCACGCGGTTGGATGGCAAGGGGGCCATGATGTGCTCAGCTAATTTGGGCTTTAATCAAAGCAGCGAATGCATTTGTTGATAGTGGCGGCGACTATTTTTCGACCACCAATTGGCCAAAACCTTTGCCGTAAGGCCGCCAATAAGCTCTGCGGGCCTGAGTGAAGAAATTTCAAATGATAGTGAGCTATGATTGCTGACGTGACTGGATGATCCTTGGGAAGCAAAATTGGGTGTTTTGCATCATAATCCAATAATGAATTCTGCAGCCGACCGCCAACTCGAATAAGTCCCGATTCATCGCAGATTGGATGCAGCGAGTACAGCTTGCTTTTTGAGGAAATCTGCCTTTCGGATTGCAGGGCCTTATACTCCTCAGCAAAGTTGATGAGCTGGATTCCCTTGATGAGCAGATGCGTGCCTTCCTTGATGTCGTCTACTGTAAGAGGTCCTCGCCGTCGTGGCTCATCCTTGGCTTTTAGCATTAGGAACCGATGTATGTAGCCAAAGACTCGCTGCAGCTTTCCAAAACAATTTTGAAACTTGCAGCCATACGAAATATCCTGGCTTTGCGTCAGCACCAGCGCGAGGCGGCGGCGTTCAGGCACATCTACTAGAGTAGGCGTATGAGGCGGCCAGCAAGCTTCGTCTGTCCGCAGGAATGGTGGGCCCTCACGCCACAGCGTCGAATCCAAAAGTTCGAGCGGAGTACATCCTCTGGATAATATGTCAGCCGGGTTGTAGTGGGTAGATATATGATGCCAAGCCATATCCTTGGTCCTTTCTTGAATCTGCGCGATTCTGTTGGAGACAAAAATGTTAAAGTCTGATGGGGCCTGGCGAATCCAAGAGAGCACAATTGTTGAGTCAGACCAACAATGATATGTGCAAGGCTGAGAAATGGCATTAGCGATGTTGTGGATGAGTTCGGATAGCAATAGAGCTGCGCATAATTCAAGTTTGGGTATGGTTATTGTTTTAAGCGGCGAGACTCTAGACTTGGAGCAAAGCAAATGTGATGAGTAGGTGCCCCCTGCTTCGGAGCGCACATAAATACAGGCACCATATGCCGCCAAGCTTGCATCACAAAATCCATGAATTTCCAAAGATGAGTCAGATTGCATGATGAAGCGAGGAAATTTTAAATGGCTGACTGCCGAGATTTGCGCGGAGTGTTCCAACCATAAGGAATGCAAAGATTGTGGCAAAGTCTCATCCCAGTCGAGCTTATCTTTCACAGGATTTGCAGGAATATTTTGAGCCTGGTTATAATGGGCGCTATAAGACCTAGGGGATCGTAGAATTTGGCTACGGCTGATAAAATAGAGCGCTTGGTAGCTGGCTTGTCTGCTACATTTCCAGAGAATCCAAAAAGCAAATTATCGGAACTTGTATCCCAGTATAGGCCAAGTGTTTTGGCGACGTCAGTCCCGTCACTAAATTTGAGCATTTTCTCGCGATCAGCCTCAAGTTCTCCTTCAAGCGCTGCCGGCTCATTGGAGCACCATTTACGAATTGGAAATAGGCCTTTTGCAAGTAACGATTTAACCTGCTGCCGGATATAAACGACCTCTTCGATCGAGTCGCCTCCAGAAATAAGGTCGTCAACATAAAAGTCCCTACGCACGATCTTGGCTGCCACAGGAAAATCCTTCTCCTCATCATAGGAGAGCTGCTGCATAGCACGAATTGCTAGGAATGCAGCAGGCTTAGTGCCATAAGTGACGGTGTCCAGGGTGTATATTTTAATTTCTTCGCTTGGACTATCACGCCAGAGGATGCATTGGAGCAGATTATCAGGTTCGGAGACACGCACACAGCGATACATTTTGCAGATGTCGCCGCATAGTGCCACTTTAAAGAATCTGAACCGAACCAAAGTGCTGAAGATTTTAGGCTGAATGGAGGGACCAGCAAAGAGCAACTCGTTTAAAGAGTATCCAGACGAAGACTTGGCAGAACCATCGAAGACTACCCTGAGTTTGGTAGTCGAGCTGTCCAATTTGTGAACGCAGTGGTGGGGCAAATAATATTGCGGCAAAGCTGACTGCTTGCAAGAGAGCGACATATGGCCTAAATCGATATACTCCTTTATAAAGGCAATATATTGAGCCTTGAGATTAGGATTTCTAGCCAATTTGGATTCCAATGATTTGAATCGCTGCGAAGCACGATGGTATGAATCTCCTAGCATATCGAGACTAGTCTTTGCGGGCAATCGAACTGAATATTGGCCTGACTCAAGCCGAGAATAAGATTGAGCAAATAAATTCTCGCACAAGGCCTCCTCATCAGTTGGAGCAGATGACGATCCACAATAGCTGTCAATTTCCCAAAACCGTTTGACAAGGTCCGGCAACGATTCAGGTTCCAATTGTACATCGTGCTCAACTGACAATGCGGGAAGAGAAGAGTGTTTATGGGCCGGCGAAGATATGCCACCGGATACTACCCAACCCAATCTAGTTTTTTGCAAGGAGGGAAGGTGATCGGCCAGCCGTATCTGCCCAACGCAAAGCAGGTCGAAGAAGATTCCAGCTCCTATAAGAATGTCAATCCTTTGACTTTTATGAAAGAGCGGATCGGCGAGGAATAAATTGCTGGGGATGTTCCATTCTGAAGAGTTTAGGTCGAAATGCGGCGATAATTTGTGATGGTGCTAGTCATTATTGCAGCGAATGATGTTCGGTAACCTTTGTTGCGAGATTGTACAATAATATCTACCGCCTTATCAGCCATGAGTGAAGACTCTCCTATACCTGAGATGCATGTATTTGAGCGACGAGTTGACAGTTGCAATTGATGAGCGAGTCGAGAAGTAATGAAGTTAATTTGCGATGCAGAGTGAGCAAGGCTCTGCAGGGTACCATTATGCCGGAACGATTTCGGACATATATGATGGCAGTGGCAAGAAGCACATAATCAGATTGATGATCTACCGAGGCTTTAGGTGGGGGTGAATTTGGCGAAGCAGAAATGAGCGAGGCACTATTTTGAGGAGCAGAAGTGGATGTGGGCTGCGAGGGTGATGAAGCAGGATTTGACTCCAAATGTAGCAATGTATGATGCTTAGAGCGACAATGCCTGCAGTTCCCAGCTTTGCACTGCTGCAGGCTGTGGCCTTTACGCAGGCAATTTAGGCAAAGATGTAGCCTTTTTGCTTCTTTGTAGCGTAATGTGGGACTCAAGGCAATAAATTGTGGACATTTCGAAATAAAGTGATCCTTAGAATCACACAAATACATAATGAGGTGTAGGATGATGCGGTGCAAGCGTTTTGGACATTTTTATTTATAGTTTTTCCCACCTGGTTGCTAGGTGTGTGGGTTACCATAGCATTTTCAATGTTTTCCATCATCCGACATCTCTTCTCCAAAAAGGCAGCCATATCCGTCCATTTTAGCAGCTTATTGGTAGGCAATCCCTCTTCCCACTTCTCCTGAGTATGCTGATCCAGTTTGGAGGACACCAGGGATATGAGCATTCCATCCGCAATCTCCTGGGTGGTTGCCATTGTGTTAAGGGCTCGCAGATGAGAGTTGATGCCGTCGCTCAATTGCCGCAAACTCCTTGCCGACCCTTTCACCACACTAGAAAGCCTGAAAATAGATCGTATGTGCCCCTGAAAATGCAAAAGTTTGTTATCAAACCTAGCAGTCAATAGGTCGACTGCCTTCTCATAATTGGCCTCTGTTGGCTCCAGCGAGCGAATTGTGTCTAATGCGGGGCCATCCAAACAGGAGCGTAGATGCTGGAATTTTTCCAAATTGGTCAGGTCCTCGTTGTTGCCGATGACTGTAGTGTACATAGCGTAGAAATCTGGCCAGTCCATATAAGCGCCTCCAAATCGTGGCAGCTTAAACTCAGGCAGCCTAGTGGCCCGAACACCAGCCCTGGAGGTTGAAGCCTGCTCGATGTTGAAATTTGGGAGTGCAGTCGAATTTATCACTGACACTCGGCGGAGTTTTGCTAGTTCGCGAGAGATTTTGGATTTCACCGCACAATAAATGTTTAGAAATTTTGCACGCACATCACTAGCCAGCTCTAGTAGATTGAGCCTTTCGACAGCTGTTTGAGACTTATCAAAATTATCTTGCATTTTTTCAATAAGCTCAAGCCTGACTTGAAGGTCGGCCTCGTCAAAATGAGACGCCTCTTCTGAACCGAAAAAGTCATTTAAAGCCACTAGCTGTCGAAGAACCGAGTCCGCTTTGGCTTTATAAAAGTCAAAATCACTATTGGCCCCGGATGGGCACGCAGTAACCGAATCATTCTCTGCCATTTTATTTTCAAAAAGAGTATTCAAATGTCACCTTGGGCTTGCGACCGATGCAGCTGTACCAAACGCAGAGAATAGAGAACGAAAGAATAGCGGAGCCAAGCTTGGCGTTCACTGACCACGAGCTAACGGTTCTATCGGACCACCAAAACCAACAGCACAAACACAATTTGAACGAAAAGTATATAAAAGGGCTGCAACTATATGCTAGTGCACAAATATATAAAGAGATGCTATGTACTCGAATGTACCGATAAAGTTCAATAGCGATGCAACGATATGCAATTGTATTGTGTGAGCATACGAACTATATACATATGTATAAGCACTTTTCACCTTTTATTTTAACGAAAACGATTTTTTACGCGATCACGTCGGGGTCACCAAATGTTTTGAGGAGGGCATTAATTTATGCCACCTATTAAGCGAATTGATTTAGCGAGGGGTTTGTTTTGTGTTGGCGTAAAATTAGTTATGTTTTAATTTGTGTGTGCTTGTGTGTGGTTTGGTTACAAAGTTTTTGTGTGTTTTTAGTTTCAACGTAAATGAGCGAATGAATCGAGAGAATAGATAAGCCAAACAGAAGAGCTGCGGCGGAAGAGCTTTCATGCCGGCTTATGAGGTGGAAAGCTTCTGCCGCAGCTGATCGCTTGTTTACAAATAATGATTTAAAACATTTAATATTAAATCTGCTGCTTCTGCTCCGACAACAGGGTTATCCGAGACGTAAATTTCATTTTCATTTGGTCTTAATTTACGCTTATTAAATCCAAATAATCGTCCAATTGATCGTTGATGATTAAAATATACTATCTCTTTTTTACTAACAACTTGAACTTGTAAAGTATTGGTGTTACATTCAATTGTTACACTATTGTGAAGTTCATATTCCTTGAGCTTATTAAAAATATATTTTATTATATCCTCAAACTCATATGAGCCTATAGGTATTTCTATGACTTTGTTTCCAATATGAAATAGATTATTCCCCTTATCTACATTCGGTATAGAATTGAATGTATAAAAGTCGATTAGAGCACATTCATAATTACGATTTAACTCAATTTGAGGAAAAAATGTTCGCTTAGTACAGATGTGTTTCCATTTAAAGCAATTGTTAGCGATGTACTCATTATGAAGCTTAATCGTGAACTGTATGTTTTTTATCAACTTCATTATACTTATATTATTATTTATTCGAGAATAATAAACTGATCGAATCCTTTTCTGTATCGTCCAGTTTTCATATCATCATCCTTAGAGATTAGAAGAAATCCAAATTTATCTTCCCAACACCTTCTTGATATATTCATGAATGAATTATAATCCATATCGCTGTTAACATGATCTCGATATATACGACGCATGTTTAAGTCATCCTGTTTAAACATTATAATAAATTCGCATTGTCTCGAATTAAATGTTTCGGAATATGTGTATACGTTTGAGATAAATAGAATGAATCAATCTTCCTATGTCGTCCCATACAAAAATAATCTCGAATATTATCTTGTTTTTCGGATGCGACATCATCAAATATCATAATGGAATTGTTTTTTGCTTCTTCTGGTGACAAAACACTATCATTTGACGAAAATGTATAATATCCCATTCCTCGTATTGGTTTCACAAGATTTCCAAATACTCATATTTTGGTTGATATAAACTCTTTGAAAATATGTAAATATTTTCAAATTTTAAGCCATTTGGACTTTCGATAAGACTTATCATCACATTGGTTTTTCCACAATTGGATGGTCCAACAATTAAAGCTCTAATTGTGTTTGGTAACAATGAACTGTGTCGTGGATGAGTAATTTCACCATGCACACCACCTTCAATGTTTCTTACTGTGATACTTTTATTTTGTCTTAATAAACGCATGATTTGAAGATAAGTACTTCATTCGAGGACAATCATTCGTTAATTGAGGTTGATATAAAATGGGGAAACATTTTATAATATAATCAGTCATAAATCAAATGTGAAACAGGGAACTGGTATCATAAATAATTTAATAAACACTTTACCCTTTGAGGCTCATATACCTGGGTACAATTACTGTGGACCTGGCACAAACCTTGAGAAACGATTACTTCGTGGTGACCGAGGGATCAATGGTTTAGATGAGGCTTGTCGGGAACACGACATAGCATATTCAAATAGCAAGGACTTGAGTGAACGACATAAAGCAGATTCCATCTTAATTGATAGGGCTCGGGATCGTGTAAAAGCATTGAATAGCAGCATTAGTGAAAGAGCTGCAGCATATTTTGTGAGCAACGTGATGAAGCTAAAGAAAAAATTTGGGATGGGAACAAAGCAGCAGAAAAAGAAGTTGTAAAAAAACTCTTGCCTCAATCATCAGAAAGGCAACAATCGAATTGCGAATGAATAACCTCTTGACTTATTGAATGCAGTAAAAGTGGCTCGCTCTGCAGTATCTAACTCTATGGGGTGTAGGAAAAATGTTGTAATTCCACGGGTTATAGCAGTCCCTAAATTGGTGGTTTTTTACCATTGGTACCTATTTTAACAGCCCTTAGCGCTGTGGGAAGTTTAGCATCAGGTAGCGCTGCAATTGTAAAGTCTATTAACAATGCAAAGATGGCAAAGGCACAACTTGAGGAAAACCAGAGACATAATAGAAAATGGAATCGGTAGCGTTAGGCAAGGGATTGTATTTACATCCATACAAGAAAGGTTACGGTATATCATTTACCAACAAACAAAAACGCAATCAAAAAAACTACTAAATGAGCTACCTAATAGAGCGTTATCGAATTTTGATATATTGAAGTTTGACTTTAAAAATATTCCTCATTTTCGAGGAGTTTATATGAAAGATGAAATACCGAAATTTCCTCATCATTCTGAATGTGGAATAATAAATTTAGCAGACTCGACATCAGAAGGAACGCATTGGGTAGCCTATTTTAAGAAGGGGACACACTCGTTTTACTTTGATAGTTTTGGGAATTTACAACCTCCATTAGAAGTAATAAGATATTTGGGTAAAATATAAAATATAATTACAATCGTTTCCAAAAATTTGGTACTTTTAACTGTGGGCATTTATGTATCAAATTTTACTAGAGTGCATTCAAGCCATGTCCTGCCTAACCTTCACTTTACATGAAGTGGACAATATGAGTCGATAGACGTTTCTTAGAATCCCCTCCCATTCCACACATGCTGTGTAGTCGGAGGAGGAGAAATGTTCTCCTCATCGGGTATAAAATCAGGGACCTCGTCTAGGAAAATATCATTCAGCGAAGAACCAGCGCCAAGACGAGCCACCAGCCACCAGCCACCAGCTCAACACCATCAAAACCCCTTAAAAATGAAGATGTTTGCCAGCTCCACCGCCTCCAACAGCTCCACCAGCTCCACCGCCTCCACCAGCTCCACCGACACCAACACCAACTCCACCACCTCCACCACTCCACCACCTCCACCACCATCACCAATTTACCCGAAGGGGTATCTCAGGAGGACCTCAATGCCTGATGAGGGACATTGAACAGGACCCGCTGATGCTTGCCCTTAACGAATGTAGGGTTAAGGGTAAGCTCAGCTTCAACAAACTCCCTGTCAACATGGAGTTTGACATTTTTTCAGCGAGGAGGGTAGCTGGCAAGTTTGGGCAAAATATTATGCTCGAACTTGCCAATGTATTGATCTATCTTCCTGATAGATACAATACGATTGAAGATAGCCTGATTTATTTTTTAACACAAAGTGCTACACCCTTATCAAAAGGGATGATGGCAATATTGATTTTAATTTAAAAAATATGTAATAGCTTTTAAAAAATTAAAAAATAAATAAATAAATACCAATTTTTAAACACAAATCATAAATTTTTATTATTGGGAAATGGGTATTGGGGTTCTTTTTTTCAGCATTTTAATTTTTCAGAATTTAAAAAATTTAAAATATAAATAAAAATAAAAATAAAAAATGTAAACTAAAATCAAAATTTTTATTATTGGGAAATGGGAATTGCAGTTCTTTTTCAGCATTTATTTTTCAGATTGATTAAAATTTAAAAAATTAATTTTCATAATAAATTCAATTAAATTAAATTCAAATTTTTATTATTGGGAAATATATTGGGTATATTTTTTTTCACAACTTTATTTTTCAGATTCTTTAAAATCTTAATCAGTCGTACAACCAGCTCTGTTTATCAGATCCGATCAGGTCGTACAACCAGGTCTGTTTATCAGACCTGTTAATACCAGGTCTGTTTATCAGATCAGTCGTCAAGGTCTATTTCAACTTATACCAGTTGTTTATCGATGGTCGTACCCGGTTGTTATCAGACCTGTTAATACCAGGTCTGTTTATCAGATCAGGTCTTACAACAGGTCTGTTTATCAACCTGTTAATACAGGTCTGTTTATCAGATCAGGTCGTACAACCAGGTCTGTTTATCAGACCTGTTAATACCAGGTCTGTTTATCAGATCAGGTCTTACAACCAGGTCTGTTTATCACACCTGTTAATACCAGGTCTGATTATTACATCAGATAATACCACACCTCTTTAAATATATATGTATATATGCTTATGATTAATAAATTTTTTCTCAGTACATTCCCAACCCAAGACTGAAATAACCACTCTTATTCTTCGAATTTAAATATTTTTAAATTACATCACAATGAACCAAAATATTTTATCACAATTAAATAAAACTCGAAATGCTTTGAAAAAAAGTTTTCAGAGTTAAAACAATTTAAGACCCAGAATATTATGGGTTTGGAAGAAACATTTAAACCCATAACTGATCCATTAAATGAACTTGTTAATAATAATAAAATATTAACAAAAATTCCTGTCCAATACAGAGGGAGACAATCAAAATGATCAATTTGAATTTGACAAAGAGATTAAAACTCCGCTTATGAAAAAAGGAAACTAACATTTTACACTGCAGCTACAAAAATTCAAAACCCAAATATGATGCATACAAACCATTGGATTGGAGATTAAAAAGTGATGATGAATATGATAATATTTCTGGTGGGATGAGGTGGACGAGAACGATCAATTTTATTCCCAATCAGTTATAGATGATGATTCTTCATTCTCACCACCGGATCATCACTCACATCAATCATCACCAGT